CAGTCATGGACTGAATACTTTGATTGTGGCTGATGAGTTATGTAGAGAAATGAGGAAAATGAATCTAGAAGTGGTAGAATGGGGAGTGCCAGCAGGCATACTTGCGAACCTAAGTATTCAACCAACAATATTTGATGAGATAAGGGAAAATCAAGCAGGAGATGTAAAGTTGGATAAGATTCGTGAGAAAATAAAGCAAGGAAAAGCTACAGAATTCAAAATTCATGAAGATGGGAGTTTAAGGCACAAGGGTCGTTGGTGTGTACCACAAAAATGTGAGGAGGTAAAGACAAAGTTGGTGGAAGAAGGCCATAATACACCGTATTCCTTACACCCAGGAGGGGACAAGCTATATAAAGACCTGAAAAAGATGTATTGGTGGCCCAGAATGAAGAATGAGGTTGTGGAATTTGTGGCAAAGTGTCTAACTTGTTAGAAGTGAAGATAGAACACAAAAGACCGCAAGGAATTGTGCAATCATTATATTGGAAATTCCTGGATGGAAATGGGATTGTATTTCAATGGACTTTGTAAGTTGTCTCCCGAAGTCAAAGAATGGAAATGACACCATTTGGGTAGTGGTGGATAGACTTACAAAATCTGTAGTGTTTATACCAATGAAGGAGACCCGGAAGATGGAGCAACTTGCAAAAGCTTACATAAAAAATGTGGTGAGATTACATGGAGTTCCAAAAGATATTGCGTCTGACAGAGATTCTAGGTTTCTTTCAAGGTTCTGGAAGAGTGTGCAGGAAAACTTTGGTACAACGCTTAAGATGAGTACATCATTTCACCCTGCCACAGATGGGCAAACTGAGAGAACTATTCAAACCTTGGAAGACATGTTAAGGGCTTGTGTTATAGATTTCCAAGGGGGATGGGAAGATAACTTGGACTTAATTGAAGTTTTCTATAATAATAGCTACCATGCAAGCATTGTCATGGCTCCATTTGAGGCATTATATGGAAGGAAGTGTCGCAGTCCGATCTGTTGGAACGACATAAGTGAAACAATGATTTTAGAGCCTCAAATGATCGAGGATACAGTTAAGCAGGTAAGGAAGATTCACACTAAGATTCAAGCAGCGTAAGATCGCCAATAGAGCTACGCGGATTTGAAGCGTAGAGAGGAGAAATTTGAGGTTGGTGATAAAGTATTGCTAAAGGTGTCACCAATGAAATGTGTAATGAGATTTGAAAAGAAATGAAAGCTTAGCCCAAAGTATATTGGTCCATATGAAGTATTACAAAGGATAGACAAAGTAGCTTATAGGTTAGCCTTACCTATGGAGCTAAGTAAAGTGCATGATGTATTTCATGTATCTTAGTTAAGAAGGTATATCCCTGATAAGTCACATGTGCTAAAACCCGAAACCATTGAGTTAGATCAAAGCTTAACTTATGAGGAAAGACCTGTCAAGATCCTTGACAATAAAGTGCGTAGTACACGCAATAAGGAAGTTAAGATTGTTAAAGTGCTATGGTCTAACCAAGAGTATGGAGAAGCAACTTGGGAAGCTGAGGATGAGATGAAAAATAAATATCGCGAGTTGTTTAAGGTATGGTGAGTTATGGGGACGTAACTCGTTTTCTTTAAGGGGGTAGAATGCGGTAGAATTTTGCGCTTTTTCCCTATGTTTTCAGTAATTTTTGTGCTTTTTGCACATTTTTAAAGGTTATTTCGAGTAATTTTGATTTCAAAGAGACATAAAAGGCAAAAGTATGACAAAAGAGTACAACAATATTATACAAAGTGAGGAAATTTTTTTGAATTTTGTTACCCAAGTTTCAGGACGAAACTTCATTTAAGGGGGGTAGACTGTAATACCCCGTATTTTTATACGTATTTTAACTTAAATAAGTATTTCTTAAAGTATTTAAATAATTCGAAATGAATTATTTACAGTGTTTCATTAATTTAAAAAGAATTATTTTAATTAAAAGTTTATTTTTAATTATTTTACAATCTTGAAAATATTTTATTTCATGATTTGGAAATATTAGGGCATATTATTTTATAAAAAGGTAATTTTTAAAGTCAATGGTATTTAAGGAAAGTCAAAATACTAGTTTGAATAGGAAAGGGATCATTAAGAGTAGTAAAGGAATTTTAAGTAGGAGGGTTATTGAGAGAGGGTATAAATACTCATCATATGAAAAAAATCAAACTTTGACCAAGGTGGAGAATACCCAAAGGTAAACTCTCTCTCTCTCTCCTCTTATTTTCTTTCCCCTTTCCCTTCCCCTTTATTTTTATTTTGTTTCATCACCACCCACACACACACCACCACCGCCGGCCACCACCATGGCTGCCCACCGACCAGGCCACCACCAGCACTCGCCGATAACAGCGGCCACAAGGCAGGCGCGGCAGCAGCTCGACCTTGTGTTCGTGTGCCGGTGGTCAAACAAAAAAGAAAAAAATTCTTTCTTTTTGATTTTTAATTCAATCCACCCTTAATCTGATTATTGGTTTGGGTTTTGTGATGATTTTTATGATGTTTGATAATAAGTATTTTGTATATAAATTTTCAGATTTGGTTTTGAATTAAAAAGCCCCAATTATAAACCCTAGGTTTCTAGGTTTATGTATATTGATGTAAATTGTTTATGAGTGATTTAAATTATTGAAATAGGTGTTTTTAAACACAATTACAACAATTTTAGATGATTTAATAAAGCTGGAATTTTTATATATAAGCTATAATTATGTTTCTTAAAAGGATTTTTAGTTACCCATTAATTGGGAATAAAAGTAAGGGTTTTAAATTAAATTTTAGCTTGTTTTTTAGAGGGTTTATGAGTGATTTAAAGAGTGTATATATTGCTGGAAATTTGTGTGGAATAGGTATTAATGCCTCTTTGTAATTTTGGTTTGTAGGAGGTTTCCAAGTGAGTGATTTTATTTAGTCGTGGCGATCTTGAGATCATATTCAAAGTACGTTCGCGTACTTGGTAATTATTTGAATATGTAGAAAGCATGCTAGGCTTTGATAAATTAATTTCAAGTAGTATCATGATAGGTGTTGGTTGGAATTTGTTGATTGGATTGATGTTGGCAAATGTTTTGTGATGTATGAATTATTTATGATGAATTGGTGATTGGAATTAATCATGTTGGCATGTTGATTATGAACCACACTTTTATTGTTGGCATGATAGAGAGCATGTTTAATTAAACTTAATGTTTAATTTGATTTGATATATGAAAAAGAAATTTTATTATGGTTCATATAATTTTTATTGATGCTATAAGCATGAGGAAAGATCTATTTAAGTGTCTATGTACACGAGGATTAAATTATATTTTGGTGCCTATGTTCTAAACACCGAGGGATAGGATTTGTGGTGCTTTATGCGCTTAAGGTGTTATTTAACACCGAGGTAGTTTAAAAAGGATTCAACATTTAGTTTATGTGGTCACTAATTATTCAAGAATTAAATTGGTATGTTTGATTGCTTGAATAAATTATAATGTTTGATTGTGTTATGGTTTGAGAGTCATCACCAAGTATAATAATATGTAAATAACATAAAGTGAAAGAGATTACACGCCAAAACTCTTGGACCGTATTTACCTTAAGTATGAACATATGAGGGGAGTTATGCGACTTTATATTTCACCATAACTTATACTGAGAGTACAGGACGCCGTATATTCCTTTTTATTATGCGTAGGAATTCCGCCACCTACGAGTGGTTCTTTTATACTGGCACGGTTAGCTCTCGTGTTTGTACCCTTTATTGGGGCAGGTTGGGGGGGGGGGGAAACCCGTTCGATGCGTAATCAAATTAAATGGACATGGTATTTGTCTAGTTATTTTTTGTGTGGTTGTGTTTTACGTTGTATGCTTGTTTACAGGTGCAATAATGTAAGTTGTGTGATGATAGGATGAAAGCATGATAGTGTGATTTTACTACGCTTATGTACTTAACATTGCTGATTGTGTATTTGTATGTTTGTTTGGCCTTATCTTTACCTTGGCCCTACAACGACCCATTTCTAATGGCGAGTAGTGGGGGCAAGTAGAGAGAAGTTTTTCAGGTGATGAAGCATTTCCATGATGGGCATGAGTGAAGAGCGAATCATGCTTAGTTTCCATAGGAATATGATGTGTTTTATTTGCTTTGATTATTATTTATTTTATTATGCTCATGAGACTAACGTAAAGGTTTTTAGTATTGTTTGGTTTTAAGGGCATACAATGGTTCCAAGTTGTAGGTTGACTTTGTTTGACTTTACTTTCGTTTGGTTTGACTTTTAAGTTGACTTGTTTGAAATGGTTTTAAAGAAAGTCTTCCGCTGTGCGTCTTTGATATTTGCCTTTGCCGTTTTTCACGGTGGCGGTAATGTCTTAGAATTTCCTATTTAGTATTTTAAAAAGGGCAAAACAGGTATTTTAAAGGAAAGAAATTTCTAGGGTGTTACAATATCTCTAATGCTGATGGTGCAATGTTTGTTCAAAACCTTGAACAAAAAGTAAAAAGTAGTAAAGGGGGTTATTATTTTGATTACTGTGTTGATGAAAATAGGCACTTGATACGTGTTTTTTAGGCTGATGCTATTGGTAGAAGAGATTATCAATTGTTTGGGGACTCTTTATCTTTTGATTCTACCTATGATACAAATAAATACTCATTGGTTTTCTGCCCTTTTACTGGAGTTGATAATCATAAGAGATGTGTTACATTTTGTACTGCTTTATTATCTAAAGAAGATTTATAATCTTTTGTGTGGCTATTTCAAACTTTTTTGAAGTGTTTGGGAAGAGAACCCTCTTGCATAATCACTGATCAAGACCCTGCAATGGGTATTGCCATACAAAAGGTTTTTACCAAGACTAAACACAGGTTATGTATGTGGCACATAATGAGGAAGGTATCTGAAAATGTTGGAACTCAGTTTTGTAATGAAACTGAGTTCTTGAAAAAGCTAAGTGCAGTAGTTTGGGATAGAAAAAATTGATCCCCATGTATTTGTTGATGGCTGGAACAATGTTATGGAGGAATTTGACCTTGTAGATCATGAGTGGTTTGCATACATGTTTAAGATTAGGCATATTTGGATCCCTGCATATTTCAAGGACTTGTTTATGGGTGGGTTACTGCGTTCTAATTCTAGGTCTGAAGTTGTAAATAGTTTCTTTTGTAATTTTATAAACCCATATGTGACCTGTGTTGAATTCTTTGCCCGTTATGAAACTGCTCTTGATGCTCAAAGGCATGAACAGGATGAGTTGAACAGGCTTAATAAATCTGAGCCTCAATTGCTTACTCATTTACACTTGGAAAAGCATGTTGCTGTTGTTTACAGTTGTGCCATCTTTTATGATTTTCAAGAAGAATGCCAGGCAACCTGTTTCTCATGTGGTCTTGAAAGTTGTAGTTCTCTATATGGAGATGGTGTGGAGTTTTCTGTAATTGTTGATCATGAGAAAAGGAAAAACTTTGATGTAAATTTTGACTTGGCCACATATGAGTGCAGTTGTACTTGTAAAATGTTTGAGAGTCAAGGCATCATATGTAGACACATTCTGTTTATTATGAAAGGCAAGTCTATACGTGAAATTCCTGATCTTTATATCATGAATCGTTGGAGAAAAGACATTCTGAAGAAAGCTTCAGGCATAAATGCTGTCCTGGATGATGCTTCTAAGTATGATAAGAAGAAGCAATTGGTGAGTGATGTGTGGTCCAAGATTTTCAGTTGTTTGAGTTTATCTGAGCAATCTGAGGATGATTTATCTGGGCTTATTAGGACATTATCTTCATTTGAGGAGCAGATGCTAACAAAGAATAATCCTGAAAATGCAACTAGTTCAAAAGAGGTGAAAGATGTTGATATTTAGGTTTTGGTTGGGTAAAATGAAGTAGATGTAAACATCTTGCCTCCAAATCAGTGAAATTTATTTACTTTACATTGTAATTTATTTACTTTAATCTGTCACTGATTTTCTGATGTTTATTTTTGTGCAGTTATTTTCGGAAGATCAAGATCAAGATATACTGAAAAAATATTAATGTTTTTGTTTTGTTTTGTTTTTTTTTTAAAATTTTTTTTTTAATTTTTTTTTGTGTAATATTTTTACATTTACTCTAAATAATTGTACTGCAGAAATAAAGTTCAGTTTATTTACTTTTACCTATTATACTTTAACTTTATGAAATATTTCATTAACTTTATGATATTGTTTTTTCCTGCCTTTCACAGTGAATAATATATATCATATGAATTGTATTATCATGTGATGTCCTTCTTATTTACAAAATTGAAGATAATATCCTGTATTACTCCCTTCGTCCCAGAATACTTGGCACGATTTCCATTTTCACCCGCCTCAAAATACTTGACACATTTCTAAAAATAGCATGGGACCACATTTATAACATTATTTTTTAATACTCCCCCATGGTAACAAAACTTGTTAATATACGGGGCTCTTTTATAACCAAAACATTCTTTTTCCTCTCCCTTATCTCCATTGCACAACCACCTACACCACTTTCTACCACCGCACAACCATCGTATGGCCACTAACACTATCACATGGCCAATAGTTGAAATAATATGGTGCACGACCTTCCAACCAACAATATATCTTTCGAAATATTTGTACTTTTTTAGTATGAACAAGCATTAAACTACCACCTCCACAACCACCTCATAAAGACTTTATTTTTTGAACTTTTTTCTTCTACTTTAACTTCATGTCTTTTACTTTAACACTCTAATTCCCTTCACTTTTAAATCGAACATCATATTTTGACTATTTTTTTGAACTTTTTTTCTCTTAAATTTGTTCCTTTTACTTAAATGATAATTTCATTTACTTTTGAATTAATTTCTTTTACTTTAACAATATTTTTCTTTACTTTAAAATCGAACACCATATTTCAGGTTGACTTCATTTTCTAAACTTTTTTCTTTTTCTTTTAACTAAGTTCCTGTTACTTTAACATTATTTTCATTTACCTTTTGATTGATTTCTTCTACTTTTATATTTAACACCATTTTTCACACAGAATAATTCTACTACTTCAACTCAAAGGTATAATATGTATTCTTCATACAAGCATACTACTTATACCTTCAAACTAATGTTTTGGATTAATACTATACAACTTAAAGTACTCTAATGCCTATGATATATTCAAATCTATTAAAAACATTTACAATTCTTCACATGCTTTTTGTGCTTTCTTCTCTTTCCAATCCTTAATATTTGTCAGCAGTTTCTCTTGCATTTGATTGTTATCATTGAGAAGTAGGTCAAGTACTGTTTTTATATGATGGTGTGTTAATCTTTGAAATTCCTGTAAAAAACAAAAGATTAACCATAGTTTTAATAAATTATGCTCTAAGTAATCCATATAACTTAAAGAATTTAATGACTTTAGAAATAAGTATGGGAACTTACCTCTTTTATGGTTCCCAATCCTATCCCATTAACACCATCATACACCTTCATGTGCATTATTAGATAGCTTCCTGAGTAATTTTCTTGTCTTTCTTTTTGGAATGGAAGTTCAATTATTCTCAGCTTGTAGGACAACATATTATTTGCCTTTGGATGCTTTCTTTTTTTAAACAACTTCTGCATTTGTATGATCTGCAATGGAATGAATATTAATGTAATATGATACATTGAAAAATGAATTTAATGACATTTTTTTATTCTATTTATGCTTTAGAGTTTCTAAGATAAAACTTTGTATAGGCTCATATTCATCAGTGCTCTCATATAAAGTGTTGTCCAAATGATCAATTGTTTCATTTTTGAAGTTTACGACAGCAAGAAAATAATGATCTTCCTACTTCAGAGGTATAAATAGCTGCACATAAAAAATATTTACACATATTTACTTTAAAGCTGTTTTTTATTACTTTAAACATATATTTTTCTACTTTAAATATTTATTCTATATCTTACACATTCAGCTGCATCCAAGTCCAATGATTGTGATTTTGTCTAATCAATCCATACTTTTTGCAGACTTGTTACTCCCCTTTCCCCATGTGCATTCAAACACATAGTTAAAGCATCTTGTAAAAAAATTCCCAAGTTATTTCAAATATTTATACAATGCATAGTTTTATATTATAAACTTACACTAGTAGAAAAACTTAAATGAGCACCGCCAAATGTGCACCGGTTTTTAAAAACCGGTGCGAAAAAAAAGCGGAATTGAGGTAAAGAGTTTTCACACCGGTTCTAACCAAACCGGTGCAAAAAATGAGTTAATCGCATCGGTTCGGTTCGAACCGGTGCGAAATCTATTTTTAAATTAAAAAAAAAACCCGGTCAATGTTCTTTCTTTCTCTTTCATTTTCTCAATCTTTCCTCCTCTCTCATCTGCCTCTCTCTCCTCTCTCTCTCCTCCATTGAAGCGTACTTGAAATTCTCCATTGAAGGGGCTTCGCATTGATCAAATCGAACATGGTCGTATTCTCTGCTCCTTCAATGTTCCTTAGCGTCTCCTGGTTCGTTTCTCTTTCTTCAATTTTTATGATAATTTTTGCTGGGTTTTGTAATTAAGGTTTCTAATTTGACTCTGAATCTCCGAAATTGTTTTGGGGATGATATTGTAGAATACTGCGAATACTCTTCATGGTGGCGCAATTGCGTGTTTGGTAAATTTGGTGGGTTCGGCTATTGTTTTCACTGTTGTAGGATTTGGTGGGTTTCGATTTCGTTCAATTTTTGGGTTTTGATTTTGGATTTTGTGATTTGGTTGTTGTTTTTGAGTTTTAGTTTGTATGTGATGTTTGATTTTAAGTTTGATTTTGTCCCTCTTGTTCGATGATTATTGTAATTTTTTGGTTCCTAGAAACCCCTTTTTTTATTTTTCTTGTAATTTTGATATCTTGTTCGATGATGGCAGGAGGTGGATCAACAAGTAGCAACCCGCCCAAGCAGAGGAAGAGAGTTGAAGCTGAGTCTCCAGATGCTGAGTTTTCCCCTTCTGCTACTCTTTCTCTTAAGCGTGCTAAGGATGACAACGCTTTCTCTCGCTGGTATTTTTCTCCCTATATTTAAACCTAGGTTTTACTTTTTTTGATTTTTGATTCATGTATTTCTGCTATTAGTGTTTTTTAACCCTAATTTTTTTTTTCAGGTTTTAGACTTGTGTATTCAATACATCGCTGTTTGATTTTGTTGTAGACTCATGATTTTTAGTTGCTAATTTTTGGTTTGTGATTATAACCAGAGATGTGTAAAAGCCCTAGCAGAACTCCCATGGTTGCTGACTCTGAAAATACATGTATGACTCCTAACATTCCCATATCTAGATGTGAGAATGGTTTCCCAACTATCATGTTATCACTAATTCAAATTGTCCAGATAGTTGAGACCATTGTTTCTAATAATGGGGTTGAAGTGTATGTAGTTGAGCCTCCGAAGGTTGGTATGATTTTTAAAATGTGGCAGGAAGTGGAAAAATATTACAAAGAATATGCATAGCAGCAAGGTTTTGGGGTTACCAGGTCCCAATGGGTTAATTAAAAGAAAGATAAGAATGAGAAGTTTTGTGGTACGTAGAAGTGTGAGTGTTAGGGGCCTCCTGATCTTAGGGCTAGAAGGGAGGCAAACAAAAGGGCCAAGGCTATGGATGTTGCTGGAACTAGAGGAGTAGTAAACGGGCTAATTTGTGAGGATGAGCAGGCCAAGGGAAAAAGGAAGTACTAGCACTATAGAAGAACATTTTCCTTTGTTCCCTGATTTGGCTGATGGTTGAGATTTGGAGTTGAGTTGAAAACTTGTGTTTTTTCCCTTTATCTACAATTCTTTGTCGCTCATCTCTGTAGAATTGTTTTTCCTATGTGAACTTGCACAAAGCTTTCCAGCTGATGTTGAGGAAGGTCTACAGGCTTGGGAGATGATAATGTTAGGGTTGAAAACAGGGCAAATTAACAGGATCAGAAATGGTAATTGTCCCCCTGTCAGGGATAAAGAATAATTAAATATAACTATGTAGTCACCAGAAGTTTAGTTGGAAATGGTCAGCCTTTTGGCTGATCTAGTGCTTTTTCCTTATTTATACTCTGTTTGGTTCAACTTATGTTGTCTGAACTTAGCAAATCCCTTATTTTATCTGAATTTAATTTCTCTAAAGCAATCAAACCTTGTTTATTTGAACTTATATAATCTGAAAAAAGTCAAAATAAGTTAATGTAAGATGGACCAAGACCAAATACAACCTAATATCTCAAATATCTAATCCTTCCTTTGTTGTTATTCTTTTAATGATTCATAATCTAGAGCTTTCCAATTCCTATCTAGATCTGAATTCTTGCTGGTGGAGTGGTTCTCGATTAGTGAACCTAGTCTTTGTTTGTCGACAACGGAAGATGTTTGAGGGCTATTAAATTCCCTGAATTGCTGAGCCCTTACTCGAGGTCACGTCTCATGAGGTCATTATAGCAGCAACAACTTTGAGTTTGTAAGTTATGATTCATCTGTGTGCTCTGCCTGCTCATCCTGCATGCACCAACCTTGGCCGATGTTTCTGAACATTATTTTCCACTTTCCATGTCTTTTTTACTTATTTATCCTCCTAGTTAATCTGCTTGTGGTTCATCTTTCTCAAGTGGGTGTAGTGGTGAGCTTATGTTAAATTATGTTAATTATATTTGTATTGTCTTGCATTATTTGAAATTTTGAATGTAAATATTCTTATGTATTCCTTAACTATAGCCTTAATCATATTTTAGTGTCATCCTTTTACTCATGTATATATCTTAACGTAGTATAAATGAGAATTACTCACCTAGGGTTCGGCACGGTGAGGTTGTTACTAGTGTGATGCCATGAAGGAATCATTCGTGAGTGACTCATGTAAGAAATAC